AATGAGTCCAGAACAGCGGCCTCCACTGGAATTCAGCTAGGTCTCCAACTTCAGATTCCCACTCCAAGGAGGGGAAACTCTCATTTAAATAACCCAACAATTGGCCTTTAGATCAGAAGCCTGAACAGAAGCACAAAGCATGAACGTGTTCATTGTTCTCTCCTCTCAGCTGACATTAACCTGAATTTGGCTTTGAACTGATTCATCCCGGCACTTGACAAGAGACTCCATATGAGAGTCACTCGGTGAATGTCTGTCCATGGATGAACACCCGCCTCGTCTTCCTAGAGGCGACGTGGTGGGGTGGGAGGGAGCTCATAGCTCCTGAGCACATACATTTTCTGTTTAATTCTCACAAAGTCCTATGAAGTAGCTTTTATTATCCTCATTTCACACAAGAATAAATGGAGACTCAGAGAGTTTAAGAAACTAGCCCGAGGCCTTGGAGCTGAGCGAGGAGCCAGGATCTGTCCCCAAGTCTATCAAAGCACCAAAGCCAGGCCTTTCGTTTCATGCCAGTACCTCCAGCAGCCTTTAATTAATCACTTAATGAAGGCAGACATGATACCTGTCAGGTTTCGCCAACAGTTAACACATTCGAGGGTTCAGTGTTCACAAATGATCAACTGGCTTGACCGCAATGCTGTAGACAGCATCTTCCCCCAAATAACAAAATTGCTCTGAGCCCCAGCCTCTCGCTAATGATCATAAGCTGCCTTGGGGAGCAATCCTTTTTAAAAATGAAGCCGGTCTCATACTTGCAGTGGACAAACATGGCCCGAGTTGTCTCGCAAATCTTTCTTTAACGAGCGCAGGGGTGGACATTTTATACAGTGTGGACCATGCTGATGTTGCTGACTTATTTGAGAGCCTGAAGGCCTGGGTGGCTCTCTTTGAAAGGCATTGATAGTAGAAACCTCCCTTTACTCCCAGCCAAATTACAGTAGGAAAATAAGACGTTCTGTACGGGGCTATAGAAGTGGCTAAAAGGAAACCATGTCTGCAGACATGTAGACATCTTCACGCATGCACAGCACAGAAAATATGCTCTCCGTTTCTGGACTAGAACAGTTCCTTCCTCCCTCCTCCCTCCCTTCCTTCCTTCCCTCTCTCTTTTTCTCTCTTCAGGACTGTGGTTTGAACTCAGGGCCTCACACTTGCGAGGCAAGCACCCTACCACTTGAGCCACTCTGATAGCCCTTTTTTGGCGGCACTGGGGTTTGAATTCAGGGCTTTTTGCTTGCTAGGCAAGTGCTCTACTGTTTGAGCCATATCTCTAGCCCCTCAATTTTTTATAGCGTTGTGTCTCAGTACCAGGCACCTTTGAAGATGAAACAGAACCCGATTGCATTCTATGACAATTTATCAAGTACTTCTCATGCTGCGTTTTCTTCTAGTTTTAATCATCACAATAATCTCCTCAGTTATGTATTATCTCCTCTGTTTCCAAATGAGAAAATTGCGGCCCAGAGAAGTTGAGTAACTTGCCTGAAGTCACACAGCTAGTAAGTGGCAGAGCTAGAATTTGAAAAGGAGGCTTGGCTTTCCCATCCCAAGTGGGTAATGCCCCTACGCAGAGGTCACAGCTCATGGCACTATCTGAAGGGCCACAGTCCCCCTGCCCTAAGCCTCTATAGAGGTCTATGTAGACTGAGAATCACTCAGAGCTAGTTTGTCAAGTAGAAAAATTGACTGAATATGATATCCAGGTTACAGCAGCAACCTCTCGGCCTTGCCTAGCTCAGTTCTTTCTCTGCTTTTGCAGGGAAGGTATGAGTTCTCTACTCTCCTCTTAATCTTTACCACTTTATCACCCGCAAATGATGCATGCACTTGCTGATCGTTCATGTCCGGGTTCAAAGGTTCAGATCTGGAGCAGATAGCACTGTGCTGGACGTCTGAGTCAGGTTCTCTAACTGGCCCTGTCTCTCCCCAGCCATGTTACACTACAGTTACCAGCTTCTCTGGGCCTCCTGGCCCTTCATGCACCACGGCAAATCAGTATCACAAACTTCAGCCCTGGGGTCAAATGGAACCCACCTCTGGGTTTTGTTTGGCATACACAGTGATTTTTTTGTGTATGTATGAAAAAATTTGAAAAAATTGCCAACATATAAAATAGCGAGTGTTCAGATAAAGTCTTAGTTCTCCAGAATCTCTTGCAACCTGGAAGACCAATGGACTTGAACTCCCTTTCTTCAGTGCACCAATGAGCAGGAGATGTGTCACTGCCGCCCCTCACGTTCTCCTGACAGAGTCCCTGCCTCTACTCACCTGCTTCATATTCCTTCCTGGCCTCTCAAGGCATCTGGGTGGGTAGCCCCTGAATTCTGTGCTCACCAAGTCCCTGGGCCCATCTAACTCCATCCCATGTTTCCTGAGCTCACCTGGTCTCACCCTGGGCAGCTCAGTGGCTGCTGAGTGATGGGGTCCGTCATGGAGTTGGGAGGAGTGGGGAGCTGGCTTGTGTGTGCTGCTCTGCCCTGGGTTTTGCCTTGCTGTTGTGTACCGGTTTGTGGAAAGTTAGGAAAAAGCTTCAAGGAAGTCTCATTCCTTTTTGGCTGCAGGTCTCTGTTTGACTCCACTCTGGAAAGTGGATGGATACATGGGTGACAGACAGACCCCAGTCCTGCAGCTCTTGAGCATCTCTTTTGCTCACATCTCTGCCTATCCCTTTTTACAGAGCCCCTGCTTTTTGGACATTAATTGTTGTCAAATGCAACTTATTTTCAAATCCTTTCAGGCCCCATTTAAAGCTTTCTGCTTTATTTTACCTTTTTTGATAAAGTCGCTGAGGGCTTTTTTTTTTTTTTTTTTTTTTTTATGGATTTGCCAATGATTGTCCAGTTTGACAAATTGGATTCTTAAAGCTGATTCTTTGAAGAAAAGAATGCAGTGTGACAAGACAAGAAACAGCTCATCCTCACTTCAGGAGGATAAATAAAAAAATAAAAGCAACCCCATTCTCCGGCTTTCCTGTGACTCACAGGGTGTCTCAGTTGTCACTGATAATCTAATCTTTCTATGATAGGTGAGGAACAGGACAATGGCGACCCAGCCAGGCTGTGGCTGTGATAGGCCTCTGATTAATAGGACTGTCCAATAAGCCCCCGGCCCCCAGGAAGATGATTAATGACATTTGATGTGAACTCTGGCCTCCCCCGGCGAGAACAGAGGGAGAAAAGGGGGCTGCTCACACAGAATGGTGTGTCCTGGGCAGGTTGATTGATTCCTGAAGGCTTTGTTACTCTGAGGCTGTGTGTCTGGGGAGGGGCCTGACACCCTCTTAGCTCTTTGTTGAGAGCCTGGCCTAGAAGGATTTTGTGTTTGGTACCTCTTCTAGGGACCAGTCTTTTCACTGTTCCAAAAGCATGGGAGTCTCAAGAGCCTCGGCCACCCCCTGCTGTCCTGTTGTCCCTAAGGGGTGAAATCACTGTGACTCCTCCCCAACCCCACTGTGAGGAAGCCAATTATAGATCTTTAAAAGCCAAGCCAGGAGCCCTCACCTCATCCTCTGGGTTCACAGGGTCAGGGAGGGGGGGTGACAGCAATGCTTTTTGGCAAAAGAGTGTTTCTGTGACTGGCAGGAGCAGCTGAGATGCCACCAGCAGAGAAAACAGGAAGAAAGGAGCATGAGGTAGGCATCTAGCTGGCTACCAGGTGATGTTCACGGGGTGGGAGGAGCCTGCCTGGCTCCAAGTCTTAGCTGCAAACATAACCTCAGACTTGGTGGTGGTTGGGCTTTCTTTGTTTAGCTTTCCAGAAAACTTTCAAAAGTGTCTTGCCTTCATAGGATGACCTTCAATGTTCCTTTTTTGTTATTGGCCTTTCCTGGCTTATGTGTTTACCTCAACTGTCATACCTTTAGTAATCCCATGTAATTGTCCTATCAAGAGGGACCATGTGGTGTCTAGGCCTCAGCTGTAACAATGACCAAGTGATGATTGCCAAGAACAGTGTTAATCAACCGAGTGTCCAGACAATGGACACCCAAGAGCTGGAAGTGTGTGTACTCTGGCTGCGAGCAAGGCCAGCAAACCCCACTCTTCCTGGAAGCCTCTCTGATTGCTGGGGGCCTGAAAGCAGGGGCGGCTGGGACGGAACTTTTGAGAGATGAGCCCAACCCAGGACCCGTGGAAGTCAGAACCGCATGGAGCTCTGATGAGGGACTCAAGGCAGGACTTTTGTATGGCCCTCACTTCTGATAGTGCACTTTAAAACCACTGGGTGCTTTCCATGTGCCAAACCTCAGCTGATGAACAGTTACCCTCAGTTGTCCCAAGGGGCTGCTGGCTAGCAGTCACGGTGAGCAGCACTGCCAGCGGGGACCTTGCAGCAGAAGTGGCACAAATGTTTAAATATTTTCTGGTATTTTGGCCTTATTTGATAAATGTGAATGGAAGATGGACAAAATGAAGGTGCTGTTACAAGACTCATAAACTTCATTCAGCCTCGGGACAGCCTGGGCTGGGAGCTCTCAGGCTGCCAGGGGTGATGCGGAAATCCCCGTGTCTGACCACAGAAAACACTAGCTCAGTAGTAGCAATTATTATCACTATTATTTATCTTTAATAAATTATTATTCGCAATACGGTGCTCACTGGATGATCACTTCACATTGTGCTATCTTGTAAAGAAGAGTTAAAAAATTCAGGAGCACATGTGAAATGCTGAAAATTATTGAAGAAAGTATTGCAAAGAAGAGGCATAATGAGGAATTTTATCATTTCTTTTTTAGCCGAGAATGCCCCTTGCACATGAAGTCTCTCTGTTGTCAATTTCTGACTTCAGACTCTTACTAGGGTTGTGCTGAGAAGTGAGAACTGCCTTGGACTATGAAAGGTCAGCTGAGTGCTTCCCTAGGTAAGGACAAGAGGGTGGAGCTGCCTGGGTCTCCTTTGCGTTTCTCTCTCCAACCCAGCTTCCATTCATTGCAGTTGTCTGATGAGTGGGCCTTCACAGAGGGGCAAACGGTCACCCAGGATTACTGGGCCAGGACACTGACATTGACATTCTGTTTCCCTCCTTAGGCACTGTGAAGCTAAGTTCATCTCATGCCTGGTGAGGCCCGGATGCAAAGGACTCCCTCTGTCCCCGCCTTTACCATGTGGAAGCTGCAGGCCAGGAAATCTGACCAGAAACATCCAACTCCTGCAAGATTCCCTCATGAGGGTTTAGGGAGGAAGGAGGAAAACCACAAGAGGTGAGAAGACACTGCTTTAGTTCTCTAAAGCAAAGAAACCGACCAGGATTAAGTTTTAAAATCCTGCTAAGTTTTAAAGTCTGACGTTTTTGGGGTATGGTGTCCAGAGAGTATCAGGTGTTGAGTAATTCAATGACTCACTTTTGCAATGGTCAGGATCCTTTGGAGGCCCTGTTAAAACCCAAGGCTGTTGGGCCCCACCGCTCAGAGTTTCTGACTCAAAAGTCCTGGGTGGGGCCTAAGAATTTGAATTTCTAACAAGTTTCCAAGTGACACTGATGTTGCTGGTGTAAGGATCATATCTGACAATCAGTGGATTAGCTGATAGGTAGAGGGCACTGGAATCATTTATAGGATCATGTTTAAAAACAAAATGAATTTTCAGGCCCTTTGTAACAGTCATGATGCATTTGGCTACAATAACAATATCGGGATGGATAGTTTCAAGTTTGTATAGTATTGGTAAACAATGTTGTCATTCTGATTGTCACCCTTAGCATAGCTAAAATCTTATCCTGAGGTTATTGCCTCATGATTGCAGAAGGGCTCCACAGTCTCTCTCTCTCTCTATTTCTCACCCCCCTTTATTTTACATGCAAAACCTTTTCTATAAGTCTTCCCTTTATAACTGATTGGTCAGAAGCAGGTCACAGTCCACCTTAAGTAACTGATAGCAACAAGGAATGGAAATACTGAATGATCCATGCGCACTGGATTGGGCAAGTGATCACCAACACCGAGTATCTTCCTGCCTGATTGAAACTGGGATTCTCTGACTCAAGGAAGAAAGGAATGTTATAGGACAGGGTCTAAAGTATATGCTGTAGCTAAGGTGACCAACTTGTCTAATTTTTCCAGGACTGTCCCTGTTTTAAAAGTGAAAGTCACATCCTGGATACCCCTTCAGTTCTGGGCAGTGTTAGGATGATCACCCTAACTCTAGTCTCCTGAGACCTTCTTTTTCTTTTTTGACAGCATGGGTACTTGAACTCAGGCCCTCACACTTGCTCTACCACTTGAGTCACTCCTCCAGCCCTCCCTGCGATGCTGGGCTTGTAAGGCTCTCTCCGTGGAAGATTGCAAATTCCCAAAGGATAGAAGCCCCATTCGAGCCATCTTCTATCATGAGCATCCAGCACCAGGCCTGGCTTATTTTCTTCTTTAGAGAAATACAAGTATGAATGAATGAGGTTGGCTGGTTTTGTTTTTGTGGAACTGAGGTTTTGAACTCAAGGCCTCGAGTTTGCTAGGCAGATGCTTTGCTGATTGGAGGCTATATTCTTGAATGACACAAAGATAAATTCTGGTCACTGGACCCTAAACTAACCCTTACAACCTCCCCATCTTGAAACCTCCCCATCTCAGCAGTGAGTGGGCGGGACTCTGGATGGGACTGGGAGGAGGTGGGAGTCCGGTCAAACTCCTCCCAAAACACTAGAGGACTATGTTCTGTCTGCCTGGCCCAGGCTCCTCAGACTTCTGTGGGAGCGGGCATGTCTGCAGCACTCTGGTGTCTGAAGTTTTCCAGGTGATCAAAGCTGCTCTGTCTGGATCGGCCAACAGGCCCTGGTGTCTGTTACCAGTAATCTCCTGCCTCACCAGGCAGACAGTTAAGTAACCCAGGAAGAAGGGGATTTGGTTTTTAAGCTCAAATAATTCAGCCTGACACCCAACATGCAGACATTAGCTCTGGCTCTGCCCTGAGGAAACTGTCCCTGGCTGGAGGAGTACAGGTTGACAGATGGGGCAGCTTGTCCTCCTGTGGGATTACTTTGGAGCTGATGGGCGCTCCTCCTCCTGGCTCCCCTAGAAGGGCTGGAATTGGGCAGGAGAAGCCCTGTTCTCAGGGCACTTGGTATTCCTCCCCTATTGCTGCAGCAACCCTGCTGGTGAATCGCTTCTCTTATTCCTGCAGGCCCAGAACTCATTTTTGTTGTTGCTGTTGTAGTTGTACTGAGGTTTGAACTCAGGGTTTCATGCTTGTTAGGCAGGTGCTCTACTACTTGACCACACCCCCAGCCCTTTTGGCTCAGGTTATTTCAGAGATAAGGGTCTCGCTTTTTTGCCCAGACTGGCCTGCTTTCCTACAGTTGGTGGGATGACAGGTATGCACAATTACACTCAGCTTTGTTCCCATTGAGATGAGGTCTCAAAAACATTTTTACCTGAGCTGGCCTGTAACCGTGATACTCCCAATTTGAGTCTCCCAAGTACCTAGGATTACAGGTGTGAGCCACTGGCATATGGCTAAACCTGGAACTCTTAATGGGGCTCTTTTATTGTCCCTGGTCTCTGACTGGGCTCAGGGTCCAATGTGCCTCCCTAGCAACTCTCCCTGCAGTTTTCATCAGTGCATTGCAGGAGGCCTGAAAACCAGCCATATTGAAGCCTGTGATTCTGCACAGGTCCTGACATTTCAGTAAGATTCATGAATTCCTTCGATGATGGGGGGCGGGAATTTCTTAAAGCAATTTGCAAGTACTGCATTTCCTGATTTTAGAAAAAGTTGGATTGAAAATTTTGGTCTAAAATATTTTTTTTCTGATTTTGCACAAACTCTGTGCCAAAAAGTTTGCTCAAACCTCACCTAAACAATGCAACCTCTACCACTCTTCCTGTCAGCACAGACAGCAGAGTCCGACAGAGTCCGCTCAGGGAGTGGTAGCTTGGAAAAGGAAACACCTTGATAAAGCGTTTATATCAGTGCCAAGTATCAGCTTCACAACACGTTGTTTGAGAAAAGTAGTGCTGAGGGCTAGAGGCTTGGCTCAAGAGGTAGAATGCTGGCCTAGCAAGCATGAAGCCCTGAGTTCAAAACCCGGTACTGCCAAAAAAAAAAAGAAAATCAGTGTTGCAAGTGGGGATAGAATATTTCAAATCCTAAGACTGGCAGCTGGGGTGATGCACACCCTTCCTGGCACACTCATGGGGTCACAGTGCTGGTTGTAGACTTAGCGTGGCAGATGCTCTTGCCCGGGTTAAGTTCTGTGCCCCACAGTGGGTGGATGGTGCCTCTCAGATATCCCTGTCCCCAGCCTTTGAGAGGGCCCTCCTGGCAGTCCTACCCTCCCTGACTGGAGGAGGGCCAGATCTAGGCTGGGCTGGCCTGTTCCGCTCCTGTCCAAGACAGGCTCCTGTGTCTTGCAGACTCAACTCCCACCAGGATGTTTTACATATTTTAATTAAAGTGCCACCCTAGGCTGGCAAGGCCTCTGATAGATGGCTGCAATCCGAGTTGTAGAGTTGCAGTGGTGTGAAACACAGCACCCAAGGATGCACTCTTGCTCTAGAGAATGCTTTGGCTCCCACCTCCGGAGGCGGCTCGGCTCACTTCTGGGAGGAGAGGCAGACGGCAGGCGGTGGCGGTGGGCAGGTGGCAAACACATCCAGGGGTAGGGCTAGGGATGGGAGAAGAGTTAAGGTGGGAATGCATCATAGATGGGTTCTGAGAACCAGCTGGCTGGTGAGCTGTGGATGACTCCTATTCTTGCAGATGCACAGCCCTGTGGACACTCCTTAGCGGTGTCAGATTATGACAAATGGCACGGCTAAAAGTTGCTGGGTGGCAGCTGCCGCATCTCAGAGGGAAGCAGGTATTTTTAGCACTGCGCCTTGGGGCTCTGGCACGGGGTTAATTAATCATGGTGAGCAGAACCAAGTTTTGTTCTTGATCCTGGTCCCTACCCCCCTCTGCCAGTCTTGTTCCCATTTCCCAGACTGGAATACCATCCACAGAGGTGGAGCTACCCACAACAGCTCTATATAGCCCTCTCATACACAGCACAAGGAAACCACCCTCCACCTCTCTCTTGCCAGCCCTCTGCCCTCCCTCTTCACTTCCTCCTCCTGCTTGGCATTGCCTCCAGAGGCATGGGTGTCCTTTGGGTTTCTCTAGACCATTCCTGTCTCAGGCCTTTCTGCTTTCAATTACTTCTTGGATGTTATTTTCCCAGCTGTTCTCATTCTTCCAGTCTTACCCCATGTGCCCCTACCTCACAAAGGCCATCCCTGAGCCCAAAGGGCTTTCTATCACTTTACCCTGCTTATTTCCTCTGGGACTTGGCACTAGCTCCATTGCCTTATGTGTCAATTGATTACTTTACTGTGTGTCCCCTTCCTAAGAAATGCTGGCTAGCTGGCTGAGAGCAGGGTCTTCTCTGTCTTGTTCTCTCTCAAGTGCCTGCTGCTTAGCTCAACGGACACATTGTAGGCTCCTCAATGGGTGTCACTAAGTGAAGGGCTAAAGGAGTGGATGGGAGCTTGAGAGCTGGATGGATGGATAGGTGGATTGGTTGGTAGAAAGCGGATAAAGGTTCTTTGTGGCACATCTGGGAGAATGCTGGGGGTATGGCAGCATCCTCACTCACTCACTCAGGCCAGTGCAATCACCATGGAAGGCACAGGACCAGGAAATTCTGGAAAAGAGTAGCTGGCTGGACCAACAGTTATCTGCTTCTTCAGAAATGTCTATTTGCACACTTTTTGAGATTGTAACAGATTGCTCTGAATTCTGGGTTCCCCCCCCCAACAGCCTTTCCCTTGGGCATCATTGGGGATTAAACATGGTCCTTTCACTGAGTCTTTTTTTTGGCACTGGAGTTTGAATTCAGGGTCTCACGCTTGCTAGGCAGTGTGAGCCATGCTTCCAGTCCTGAGTCTTCCTTAAAATATTCTTATTCTCTGTGGAAGACACTTGGTTGCCCATCCTCACTCTTTCCTTTTCTCTATTTTTTTGTTGTTTTTTGCAACAGGGTCTCACTCTGTAGTCCAGGGTGGCCTTGAACTTGTGATCCTCCTATCTCAGTTTCCTGAGTGCTGGGATTGCAGGTGTCCTCCTCCTTTCTTGCTTGAGTCCAGACTTTGATGTGGTCCTGGTATTGGGAGGCCTGTGCTTCAGGGGGGTTCCACCCAGCCCCAGCCCCAGCCTTAGGAAAGGAATTGTGATTGTGTGAGCTCACTTTGGGCACTCCAGCCCCTTAGGCAGGGGTGGGTTAGAAATGACCAGAATGCAATTCTTCCTAGCAGGATGTGAGGAGCTTCTGGCTTCTGAGGGTTTTCTCACGTGGTGAAGTCCACCATGCTATGTCCCTTCTGATCCTAAACAGATGAAGCTTTATTGCACTTGCAGACGTGGAAAAACTGTGGAAGGGGAGCCATGTGGTTTCCATTCTGTGTTGTGGACTGGGCCCAGCAGGAATGGCACTCAAACCTAGGGTGCCTGCACACAACTGGAGACCATTAAAGCATACCCTGTATGAGTCCCCTCCCATTTGGGTTGAATCTGACTCTCAGGATGGGACTTGGATATCTTGGAGGTTGGTAGGGTCCTTGTGTCCTCCACCATTCTGAGACAACACAGGGTTTCTATGAACTGCTGAAACAGACCAGGAGCAGGGGGCCTCTGACAATGAGGTTCAAGACCAGAAATACCTTGCTAGGAGATGTTTGAATTCCTTTCTCCTGATACCTTGAAGGAAACAAATAGATAAGCCTCCTTACCAGGATATATAAGAGGAAATTTTGCATGGAAGGTACAAGCCAATTATGGAACTTCCAGGCAGAGGATATTCAGAATGTGCACATACGATGTGTTGTCCTGAGAGCTCCTGAGGCCACCAGGCCTGGGCCTCTGCTGACAGCACTTACATGCTCTCAGTCTCTTGTGGCTCCCAGAATAAGGGGTGAGAACTATACTGCCCTCCCCTCCAGTTCTGAGAAGCAAACAGATGCCTCATTTAAAAGCACCAGAGAAGTTTTAAGAAAATGCTATTCCATTCCAAACTGTGCTACTGTTGTTTCACAGTTAGTTTTGACTTCCACCATTCCCTGCGGGAGCCAAAAAAAAGGGGAAGAGGAAAGAGGAGAGAGAGAAAAAGGGAGAGAACAGAAACAGAGAATGACAGAGAGACTGGAAGATGTATTTATTTACTGGGAACTTACTATTTGTGTTCCCCCACCATTAAAACACCACAGATCCCGTGCTGTTTTCCAAAAAACCATCTGCTCCTAGGTAACAGCAGAAGACTGCTGTTTCTACTATGACCAGTAGGTGTCATCATACCAGAGGAAAAGCTAAAGGTGCCTGGGATTTGATAGCCACCTATGAAAATAATTTCGATTTTATCTAGTTATGGAAGTGCCATTATGTAGAGGGCACCAGGCAGGACTCTTGAGGGTAAACGGGGTGAGAACTGCATAGTCTCTGTCCTTGTGCAGTTTACTGTGCCTAAGGGGCCAGGAAGAACAAGGTCCTGAGTAACAAAAAGAGGGAGAAGGCAGTAGGTGGATGTGTGGATTCTCTGAATAGGGGACCTTCTGTGTAGTCATCGCTCACCTTCCCACACTGCAGCCGAAGGAACAGGCTCAGAGGGGAGGCCACTGACCTGTGATCATGCAGCAGTTCCAGACTCCAGATCTCCAGCGAGGGTTCTTTCCATCAAATGTCCTGTCTCAATAATAGGGGTTTCTTGCAATTTGAAATTCTACCTTAGTTTAGCCATGGACCTCCCTGCAAAATGTCCTCTCTGATGACTACACAAGGCCCCTAGGTGGTCAAAATGCACCTCAGAAAAGGCAGCGGTCCTCATTGTGGGCGCTGTGTTGTCAGAGTTGGCTCATACAGGTTCAGGAACACTGATTGGGACCATCTCTTCCCAGCAACAGCAGGTTGGTAGCTTGAAACTGGTTATGCTTGAGTATTTACTCCATGGAAATTGGCAACAGCTATAAACCAGAGCTTTGTTTCCTCCCAGAGAGCTGCACACCACTGAATCAGTACCTGTACTATGTAGAGAAAGAAACTGATGCTGAAGGAGATAAGGTGATCTGCCAATGAGACATAGCTTATAAGGGGTGGAACTAAGACTCCAGCCCAGGTGGTTTGGTACTAGAGTGTTCTGAGATGATAGATTTAATCACACTCAGAGCCACTTTGACATGGAGGTGTGTAAGTGGATCCCACCTGGCCTACTCTGTTCTGTTCTCTTCTAACAAAACAAAACACCAGAGACTGCACAATCTATAAAGAACCAAACTTTATTTGCTTACAGTTCTGGAATCTAGGAAGCCCAAGATCAAGGTGCTAACATCTGGTAAGCACTTCTTGCTGCATTATCCTGTGGGAGAAGGGCAGAGGTAAGGGAGAGTGACAAAAGGAGGCCAAAGTTACCCTTGGAGCCCACTGGGGGAGAAAATGACATTATCCAGTCAGTATGATTCTGCCTCTTAAAGTCTCTCACTTTTAAAACTGGTATGATGGCAATTAAGTTTCAATATGAGTTTGAACCTGGGAACTGATGTGGGTACACTCCCGATTGATGTCATTCATAGGACAGTAACACCAGAACAAGAAGCAGTTTGGGTGAAGAGGTAATCAGTTCAACTTTGGATAGACTGGATTTGAGGCTCATTGTTGGGGAGATGTTTAGATATGGAGCCCAGGAAAGAAGTCTGGGCAAGAGATTACAATCTGCAAGGTGAAAGTCTGTTCTTGACCAAACCAAATGTGGATTAGTTAGAAATATTTTCATTTGCTATAATACTCAGGTAAAAGGTGCAAGATTCAGCCAGGCACAATGGCTAATTCAGCTAGGTACAAGTAATCCTAGCTACTCAGGAGGCAGAGATTAGGAGGATCAAGGTTCAAGGCAAAAAGTTCAAAACACCCTATCTCAACCAACAAAAAGCCGGGTGTGGTGGTACGCATCAGTCACCCCAGCTATGCAGAAAGCCTAAATAGGAGGATGGCTGGCCGGGCTGGCCCAGGAACGAATGGCAGACCTTATTTGGAAAATTACTAAAGCAAAAGGGGTTGGGAGCGTGGCTCAGGTGGTAAAGCACCTGCCTAGCAAGTGCAAGGCTCTGAGTAGAAACTCTAGTACCATACACAAAAAAGTGCAAGATTCACCCTTCTATATATATATTTTTTCTCATATTTGTCAACATTTATGTATTCTGGGGAACTACGTACCTTTGCTCACACTTGTTCCCTGGTCCCAGTACCTAGTGAGCACTCTGGAAGTGTTTACTGAATAAACACAAGTGACTTGTTTTTATCCTGCAGATACTGAATGAGCCACTACTGTGGCTGATACTTCACAATTAAGTTCTTCTCTCACAGTGTAGATTACCTACCATTCTGCATCATCACAGAAATATGGATTCGGAGGTGGATCACTCTTTCAGAATTTTAGAGCTAGAGGTGGGATTAGGTGTCATCTCTTACAATGCCCTTGTCTAACTGGTGGGTACAGAAGCCCACACACCATTCCAAGACCATCCAGGCCCCTTGCCAGCGTGAGAGATCACCCAGTCTGCAGGCAGTGAGTCCTTGTCTTACAGTTTTCTCCCCATTCTGGGACTTTGTCTCTGGAGGTAAGAGAACTTGAACTCTGGTTTTGGAAAGTTGATGAACTGATGAGAGTCCAATCCCAGGAGGGCGAGCAACTTGGGGATTATAGACAGAACTCTATCTAGGTAACCAATGAAGGAGGCTACAATATGCAAATAAGAGGGCTGTGGCTTTCCTCCTGGTTGGCTGAAGGGTTCTTGATGTCACAATCTGTAGTGTCTGTCCACTCCAAATGATTATGCCTCTAGCCAAAAAACCCTCAATGACCCAGTTCTTCTCTTGGCTTCCTCTCTCAGGGCAGCAAGGTGATGGAGCCCCTCTATCAGGCTGGATCAGTTCTCATGAAGGTGAATACCTTACAAGGAAAGAAGATGGTGGAGACTGGGCTCCAGTCCGGGGACTTTTCCCTCTCTGAGTCGTGGCCCTCCTGCCTCCCACCTTCAGCTGACTTGGAGATCCTGCAACAGAAGGTGGCCATGATGCAACACGAGCTGGAGGACTTTAAGGAGGATGTGTTGAAGGCCATTCGTTATCTGGAAGACGCCTTCTGTGAGATGAATGGCATCCTGGCACAGCAAGAGGAGCAAGCAGCCCGCGTGAAGCAACGGCTGCGGGAGGAGGAGGACCGAGGCATCGTGCGCAACAAGGTCCTCACCTTCCTGCTGCCCAGGGAGAAGCAGCTCCGGGAGCACTGCCAGCGGCTGGAGTCCCTGCTGCTGGGCAGGGGCTGTGACACACTGGCCACCGCCAGGAAGAGCCAGGTTGACTGAGATGCTTGCACCCATCCAGCTCTGCGCCAAGTGGAAGATTTTTTTAAATGGAAGGAAAGATGCTAAGCTCCCACCCACTTACTTCCCTTTCCCCATCTCCATGACTTTCCTTCTACCAAAATAACACCTTGCAGAGAGGCAAAAAGACCTCAATATGTGTTTTTGGTGAAGTTCCATCTATCCAGGAAGAAGGCAGCCCAATTCTAAGTCACGTACCTGTAATTTTCACTTTGAACCCTTTCCTGTTTGTAATGGTAATATTGCTTGGATGTATAGCATTTTTCTTGTATATTCTTAAACTGATTGTGTTGAACAGACTTACCTTTCTTTTAATGACTCCAGGCTCTCATGATTTGTCACTTCATGCATGGTCTACTGAGAGGGGCTATGTGTTAAGATGGTCCTAGATGGCTCTCCTTTTGTAATTCTCGCCCTCACCTTTTTGGTTTTCCACCTGCTTTCACTGTTAGACGGTCACCTCTCACTGTGCTGCCTCTGCTCGCCTCTGCTTCCTCTCCATTTAATCTGCAGTCTAGATGATCTGAGTTTGTTAGGTTTCTGATGGGTGGAACTCTCTGAGTCCTAGTGCGCTGATGATGTGGCACCCTTAAGATGGCACAATAAAATAGTAATATTGATTTCCGTGCTTGACTCATGGATCGGCAGTTGTTATGGTGTTGAGTTGTTTATCAGACAATGTGCATACACTACCCCACCTGCCTCTGGAGGTGAGCACTGTTTTTCGTGGTACACAGGAGAAACTGACTAGAGGTGGCTGAGTCCCATCCCTAAAGTCACCATGCTAATAAGTGGCAGGACAATGCTTCAACTCCAGGTCACCTGTGCTCATTCACCATCTTGTTATCCCCCCAACACCCCCAGGTGTTCCTAGAACTGTCATCCTGAAGGACTGAGATTTTCACATGGGTGATTGGGGGGGGATGTCACCAGTTGTCCCTGTACCTTTTATTTCCAATTAGCCTTCTGTTTCATTGACTCACTTATCTTTTCTCTGCCCCATAAACTGTTGCCATGTAGCAGTGATTGTCCTCAAAGTGAGGCCTGCGGGCAGAGCCAGCTGAGTAGTTGGACCTCTGTGTCTCCAGCTCAGGGCTTATGGCCCAGTCCACACCCTCTGACCTTCTATTGCAGTCTCCCTTCTCTGTCTTCCATCGACTCTATCCAAATAAAATTTGAACATCTGGAACCCTCAAGTTGAACATCACCAAAGAACTCTGACCATGTTTAATTGCAATGCTAATCCATCTGTGCCCATCTGCCCAGAAGGGCTTTCTCTCACTCTGGTGTAGGCAATTTCTACTGTAGAGGGCTTAGTTGAAGTAACAATTCTATTAATACTACCGATAATACAGCAGCTTAGAGTCACCAAGAGTACGATATATACCAGGCACTGGGCTTGGCCTTCTGAAGGTAGGCATTGTTAGTAACATCACTTTCTAAAGAAACTAAGGCTCAGAGAGGCTAAATAACTTGCCCAAGGTTATGAGCTGCTTGCATTTGGGAAGTGAACTTAGGAAGGCCTAGTTTTCAGAGTTTGTGCTCTTAACTACTATGTGATATTTTTGGAAGCTTTGTGAATATTTTTGGAGCAGATAAAGTGCTGAAATAGTTGAGGTGAGCTCTGGGAGAAATGGTTGTTTTGTATGGGAGATTCCTACACTTCTAAATCTTATAGTGTGTGTGTGTGTGTGTGTGTGTGTGTGTGTGTGCATGGGTGTGTATGTTTATAAATGTAGTAGGAGAATCTGACTGGCTAATAATAAGAGGTTTCAGAGTTTTCCTCTGCGCTATGCAGAGGAAACAGGATCTAATGCTAATTCAGGTGGAAAGGTGTCATCTGCAGGCTCAGCCAGCAATGCATCTGCCCAGGGATGATGGTGTCCGTGGGAATTCTAAGAGGCCAGGTGATTGTGCCAGTCAAACCATATTTGGAGTCTGTGTTTAGTTCTGGCCCCACATTTTCAGAGTCCTAGACAGCTTGGAGTGTGTCCAGAGGACAGAAACAGGCTGGAAGATCCTGAAGAGGGGCACGATGGAAGGACTTGGAGAGCTTGGCAGAAACATCTTAGGGAGACCTTAGGTTGACTTTGCAAACACTGGAAGAACTCATGTTTTGGGGTGTGAGGGGACTAATAGCACCCCCTTTTTTCTACTTATATTATGAACCAGTTGAGGGATAAACATAGGCAGGCAAATGGAGTCAAGATATTACCTTAATAGCAGATAAATCTGCTTGAGATTGTGATTTATGTTCTGTTAGCTACATGGGTTGGCTGGAACCTTGTTCCCAAACTTGATATGGCCTCCAGGCATAGCATAGATAGTGGTGGATAGCTGCAGGCCTAGTCAAGGGCTGCTGTGGTAGTGTGGAGTAACCTGTCTGCAGAGGGACAGCTGAGGAGAGAGGAAGGGGTGTGCCAGGCAATCACTGCTCTTTCTCCAAACTCACCAGTCAGAAAGTTCTCCCCCTTCCCTGAGAAGGAGTAGGTGAGGGGAAAGAGGAGTGGAAAATGCTACTGGAATGCAGGTCCCTTCACTATGAATGAAGCTGGAAAATGAGGAAAAGGGGTAGATTGAAGCTATCAAATTCTATAGGATAGCACCAGCACTAGTGCTTGCGGGAGGTAGACTTCAGCCCACTGTAATTAACAAAAAATGACATTGGGTGCTTATTACATGTTTTGGTCCAAAAGGGTTGCTTAGCAGATCTGGAATGAGAACATCTTGGAAAATCTTACACATCTCAAACTCTACTGGAAAGCATCCCCTAAGCCCCTGCGATATACTGCCAGATAGGAGTATCTTTGTTTCCCAGGGGCGTTGACCACACCAGATTGTTTATGCTAACAGTATGATTTATCATGAGGGTCCCATGTCAGATGTATCACTTTGACCTCTGGGGGAGCTGCAGACTGAATATAACTAAGCTCAGCCATGCAGGTGCTCCAACCTTATGTGATGTCACCAATTAAAAACCCTGAACACCAAGATTCAGGAGTTACCCTGATTGGCAATACTTGACCCATGTTGTTACACATTGTTGCTGGGAAAATTGAGCATCATTTATACCACTGCGCAGGGGAGGGCTGATTGGAAGTTGGCTTGGTCTCTCTTTGACTCAGTCCTCTGGGCCTTTTCCCTTTACTAGCTTTAATCTGTGTCCTGCTTTGGTGGACTGTAACCATGAGGATAACAGTTTTTCTTAGTTCTGCAAGTTGTAGTGAGTCTTAGAACCTCAGGGTGGCCTTGGGGACCCATAACAAAGTCAGATGCCCTTGACCATGTTGAGACATTGTCCTCACAATTGCCATTCAAGTTAGGCACAGTTAGTCCCAGGACAGACGAAGAAACTCAGGCAGAGAAAGGATAAGTAACTTTCCTGGTAGTCCCTTATGAGACTCCAGAGCTGGCCCTCTTGACCTCCACCCCATAGCAAAAGAAGGAAATTGGTTGTCCTTTCTGGGTGACCCAAGGACTTCTTGCTTTAGGTGAGTCTTCCTGGAGTGATGATGACAAGGACAAGCTGGAAAGAGCCAGAAAACTTGTGAACATCCTGTGTTGAAGAATTTAGGTGCACACCTGTCCAGGTTGGGATCAGTGTCCTGCCTGGAGACCAGGTGTCTTATTATGGTCTGCCCTGCTGCAGGCTTGGAAACTTTATTCTTTAGCAAGAGCTGTCAGCTACAAGCCAGAAGATATCCATCACACTGCCTTTTTTTGTGGTACTGGGGTTTGGACTTAGGGTCTCATGTTTGCTTCTCAGGTGCTCTACCACTTAAGCCACGCCCCCAGCCCTTTTTGTTTTTAGGCTATTTTTCAGATAGAGTCTCATGGTTTTGGCAGGGGCCAGCTCAGATTGTGATTTTCACAGTCTCCACCTCAAGAGTACTGGGATTATAGGCATGAGCCATCGCACCTGGCCCCATTATGCTGACTTTTTAAAGAGGTGTCTTCCTTCCCTTCCCCCATCCCCTAATATAATGCATCCAAAGTGGATGGTTGATTCAGTAACTCAACAATGACAGGCTCTGGGCTTGCAACTCTCTTTTCTCCCCCTCTCCACCCCCATGGTTACATGATGACTGCAGGAGCTCCAAAATACTGTCCTTGCTGAAGCATTTCTAAAGCAGGAAATAAGTGGCAGAATTTTCTTTGCAAGCCTCCTTTTTGGTGGAGAAGAAACTCTTTTCCAGCATTCTCCCAGTGGATTTCCCTTGACTTTTTTTTAGCCAGACCTGGGTAACCCTATATCAATTATAAGGAAGTAGGGAAGCAATTGCCACAACTCAGCCCCTGGGCCTGGACACCTCAGTTACCTAATATCAGGACAAAATCAAGTGCAATTAGCAAAGGTGGATGTTAAACAGTGATAAGCCCCTGTGGCCACCCTTCCATCCTTTTCTACTTAGTTGATAAGAGGACCAAAAAGGGTGCTCTGGAAGATGACATGGCTGGGTAGAGGTGGGTAGTGCACGTGGCTGTCATGTGCCTGAGGGAAGGGTAGATTTAGGTCTGGGGACTGAGGGGATGGGAAAGGGTGGGTGCAGAAAGACCCCGCAGTGCTGTGGGTACAGATCCATTGCCTGTCCCATCCTCGTCTGCCTGATACCCAGGCTTCGCCCTTGAAATCAGAGGCTTGAGATGCCCTGAAGGATGCCAGGGAAACTTTAAAACCTCTCAGTCCTTAAAATAGGCAGCCACTCTTAGAGATGCAATCCACATGTTGGTTACCACCATCCAGGGTGACCAGTTTATCCTGGTTTAACTGGGACTGTCCTGGTTTTAAAACTGAAAGTCTACGTACCCTCTGGCTCCTGGGAAAACCAGGATGGTTAGTCATCTTGCATAAAACTGCCTGGGATGACCCAGGCAAGGCTGTGGATGCAGCAAGTCACCATGGGTCATGACAGCAATCAAGGGTGGTGGTGGTGGTGGTCTTTGCTGGGCTGATGTGTCTTTGCACATTTTTAAGCAGAGGAGGCCAGGCTGCCCATCCAGCAAAAGGAAAGGCCTGTCTCAGTATTCATTTCTTCTCTCCACTCTCAGGCCCTTGACCGCAGCAGTCTCAGGTTGGTAATGAGGTTTAAGAGTGAGGCCTTTACTGAACATTCAGAAGCTTCCTTCTAGGAGCAGCTGGGGCTCCTGACTCAGCTGCCTCTCACAGCTGAGACTGTTCCTGGGGGACAGAGGAAAGTCACGGGAGATGAAGGAGCCAAGAAGAGGCAGCTTTTTGCAGCATTAGAAGGTGGAGTTCCTCACTGCAGCCCTTCTCCTTCCAACTGTGAACAATACAGTTGAGCAGCACAACTGCTCACTTTCTCTGCAATCCTAAGGCAAATAGAAGACAAAATAACAGATGGTTCTCTCCCTGCCAGGAGCCATAGCTCTCAAAGTTTTCTACAAGCTGAGATGCTCTGCTGGCCCCTCTTGAGCATTCCTTAGCAGTCAGAAGCCACAGGGACCTCAGACACATGACTCCATCCTATGAAACCTATGGCAGCTAATAGAGCCCTCCCGGAGCGAGACCCAGGACCTGAGTCTGCTGCAGCTGGGAGGCTGGGGTGAGTGGCAGGCTGAGATGGGAGGAAGA